TTTTAGCTTTTCTCAGAATATTAATTGGACACTGTGAAATTAACTTTAATAACAACAAAATAAGTTTAAAATCAATATTTAAAAAAAAACATTTTTTTTTGTTTCTACATCTCGTTCGCAATTTTGTGAAACAAAAACAGTTTAGGTAGTCACAGAGCTGAAATGCACAGTTTGCGAGGATAAACCAGCTGATTGTGGGATTAATGAAGATGTCTGAATCACACTTTTTCTGTGGTTTCACAATACTGGCTTCATTTAGTTAAATACTTGTGGGACGTTGCTGGCTCCATTAGGGATCAATGACCAATCAGAGGACATATSATTGATCTGTGAAAAGGCCTGAAGTAGAGATACCTGCAGCACCTTCAGACATTTAAATCAAGACTTTAGAGAATATTTATTTTTAAAAAATCCCCTCTTGAAACTTTAGGGAAACCTGTTCTTGTAAACCAAAATAACAGTCCAATTTGCAGGAACCCTTTCTGACCTAAAACCCAGTCAGGATCTTTGGACCTGAACTAAATGACCAATCAACAACAAGCCATTTTTTTGTTGTCCAACTCTAAGAACCACTACAGCCACAGACTTTACAACACAAAAAAGCATTAATATAAATTCCAGTTTAACAGATTGAGCTACAGTTAGGTGTAGTAGTAGCTGAGAGTCATCTACAGTACGTATTTTGAGTGCTACTCAGTGCATAAGGTTTTTGTTTAAAACTTTGTGACTAAATATAACCTTTATTTTAACAGGTAAGTCATTTGAGAACCAATTCTCATTTACAGTGACGACCTGGTGAAGAGGCAGCAGTACAACACAAAATGTCAGAACAATGTTAAAACAAATACACGACACTGACAGCATAGAGTACAATTACACATACTGTAACATTATGAACCAGGAAAATAAAATAAAATAAAAAAAGCAAACTAAAAGCAAGTACAGTGATCTTTTACTATTGAGTGTATCGAACTTTTAAATGAGGATAGTGAAATGAATGAGTCCAGTTTTAAGGTTTGTTAGATGTTTGTAGATGTTTGAATCAAGCCTAGACATGTGAACAAAATTGTTGGTACCCCTCTGTTAATGACCAAAATGGTCAATGAAATAACTTTAAACTGCGTAAAGTAAATAATAAATAAAAAYTGACTAAAAATTAACCAATGAAAATCACAATAGAATTATTAAAAAAATCAAACCAATGAAACAGGCCTGGACAAAAATGATGGTACCTCTAGAAACGATAGTAGTACTGAAAATATTTGGGCCATAATGCCAAGTTAAATTAAGCTGTGTCCACTAATCAGCGTTACAGCTGTCTTCAAACTTGTAATTAATCAGTTTGTCACAGATGCAAAAGTGAAGCATTTGAAGAAACGAACACTGTCCCTACTGTCAAACATGGACGAGGCTCAGTTATTGATGGTTTGCTGCATGTGACACAGGGTGTCTTGAGTCTGTGCAGGGTATGATGTAATCTCAAGACTGTCAAGGCACTCTGGTGAGAAATGTGCTGCCCAGTGTTAGAAAGCTTGGTCTCAKTCRCAGGTCATGGGTCTTCAACACGATAATAATCAAGAACACGTGGCTAAAAACACCCAAGAATGGATCCAAACCAAACATTGGACTGTTCTGAAGGRTCTGATCTAAACCCTGGAGCATGTTGTGTGGAGAAGAAACCCTTCAAACCTGAGAAAACTGGAGTGGTTTGCCCTCGAGGAGTGGGCCAAGTACCTATGGACAGGTGTAGAGGTCTCATTGACAWTTACAGGTTTGATTGGAATGACTGCCTTAAAAGTTACGCAACAAAATGTTAAGTTACATGTAACATTTTTGTCCATGTGTGTATTTGTTAGCACAATATCAGATGAATGGGCAACATGCATTCATTCTGGAAAYGCTGGGTCTTTCATTTCTAAATGTAATATATGGAAATCCAGAAACTTTTATTGTCTTTCACAGTTTTCTTTACATCATTATTTTTTCATTTTATTCGTCTACTCCGGTTTTCCTTTTCACTGACGTCAGCCTTACAGAAAAAGAAGTTTTTGCGGTAAACCTCAGGCTTTTCTCTCTAATAGGCACAGTGTGCTTCTGTAACACCGGCTGCTTTTGTTTTGGTTACAGATAAAATCATAGAACAAAAACACCACAGCTGAAAAAGAAGGAAAGAAAGAGACAGAGGGACTGTCGAGGGGGAAAACTGTGCAAATTAAAGTGTGTTAATTCTTGTGGTGCATAAAAATAAAACCCCAGACAAATTCAAAGTGCAGGAAAGTTCATCTGTCTTTTTTTTTCTTGTCTGGAATAAGGTACACACTGAGATAAAGAGAGGAAGAGGAGATAATAAAAAGAGTGATGATTTGATGAAGCAGAGCAGAAGCAGTCTCAACTCTTCCCCGAGCGAGCACAGCTGGCACAAATCAAAACTCTTTCTTCTTTGAGAAACTCGACATCTGTCTGCTGGAGTTTCCTTCTGATCTGGTTGAAGGTTTCATCTGACTCTTCCTCCCTTCTCTTCCCACCTTCACCATGTTTGATCTCAGCCCGATGCCGCCGATCTTCCTCCGTCTGATGAGTGATGAACGTGTGGACGCGTGCAGAGGATCACAGCGCCTGTTGCTGATAGCTTTCTTTAAAATGCTGACAACCTGACAGGCAGAGCTGGGGTCCGCTGGATGAGAGACGGACAGAGAAGAAGTGGAAAGAGGAGGGGGTGGGGGGTGGGAAGAGATAGAGGAGGTGAGAGGAAAAGAGGAGGAGAGATGAAAGGGAAAAAAATGACTTCATGCCACAACTGGACTGCCCCCTTTTTCCCCCTCAACCTCTCTCAACTTTTCCCTCCCTCCTCCTCCTCCTGTGTGTGTTTTAAATGATTTGGGGAGAAGAGAGGGACAAGCATTCAGTTTGGCTGAGGGAGCAGGCAGGAGCGTCACATAGAGACTAACGGGAGCCTGAGGGGCTGCAGACTGAGGCTAAAGAGGACTGAAGACACACTGAAACTGATCTAGAGTAAATAGGTGATTGACAGGCAGGCAGCAAGAGAGATAAGGAAGTCTAGATTATGCAGACTCCTACACCAGCCTAAAATAGCTGAAATAGCCTGCACAGGGAGCAAAGACTGAGCCAGGAGCACTAATTTTTGTCAGGAGGAAAAGTCTGGGAGAAAAGAAAACATTTTTAGAGCAGATTTTCTTCCTTTAGAAACAGAAGGCAGCAGATGGACTGAAGGACCTTCTGAAGAAGACAGTCTTCATCGACATTTAGTGATGCTTTTCAGGAACTCTGAACAGACTTGTTCTGAGGACGCGGATAAAACCACAGGATACTTTTATAATCATTGAATTGAAGTTTTCTACAAGTTTTTTTTGTCACCATGTTTCTTCAAAAGAACTCTTTAACAGCGCTCTGGACTACTTRTCTTCAGGTTTTGTGCCTCCTGGATGTATGGACCTCAGCCTTGCCGGCTGCCCAGCAATCCAAACCTCAGCTGCAGCCGCGCCGGTCCAGACACATGTCGCCGCCTCCCTCCCTGTCCTCGCCCGGCAACTTGTCGGAGAGCGCCGAGAGCAAAGTGGAGCGCCTCGGCCAGGCGTTCAAGCGGAACGTGCGCGAGCTGCGCGAGCAGAGCGCCTGCTTGGACCTGGTCTTCCTGGTGGACGAGTCATCAAGCGTGGGCGCCAACAACTTCCAGAGCGAGCTGCGCTTCATACGCAAGATGCTGTCGGACTTCCCCGTGGCGCCGGAGAACACCAGGGTGGCGCTGGTGACCTTCTCGTCCAAGACCCACGTGGTGACCAGGGTGGACCACATCTCGGCGCCCAAGTCCCATCAGCACAAGTGCTCCCTGTTCAGCCTGGAGATCCCATCCATCAGCTACAGAGGGGGAGGCACTTACACCAAAGGAGCTTTCCAGAGGGCAGCGGTGAGTCTGACGAGTCAGCAAATCTGTCCATTCTTTTACACATAAAGTATTTGTTTTATGTGTAATCTGTGTGTCAGTCTGGATCCTGCTGTGTGTAAGTGTGTGTGCACATGGAGGTTGAGAAGGTAGATGTTAATGAGGCCCTGTGTGGCTTTGCTGCTGCTGCTTCCTCTAATGACCCAGCAGCAGACAGCGAGGGGAAGCTGCATGCTGGGTGATTGTTCAGGGGTTTCCAGGGATGAAAATACCCCTAACACAAATCCTTCCAGCTCAGAGACTGAAAGATGTTGGGAAAAGTGGTAAAGATGATTAAAGTATGACCTGAATTTTAGTTTTTAACACAAGCACAGAGGCAGAGATCGGGTCAGAATGTTGCCTTGTTTTTTTTTTTTTGTTGTTGTTTTGTTTGTTTTTGTGTTTACATGGTGCTTGACACTCATCGGAGGACATATGGTGCAATTCATCTGTCGACTCCAAACAGCACAGCTGTAAAAGCCATGTTGGTGGTAGAGAGGCTGATCCTGTAAAAACACACACTTCAGCTCAGATCTTCCTCCAGTTACTTTCAACATTCTTTTCAACACTGAGACAGCAGGTGATTTTAGGTTCTGTCAGCTTTCTGGGACAAGTTAACAACCTGTTGCTTCTAATCTGTATTTAGATTAAAGGATACTTGGCTACATTCATCATAAGGTTAAAAAAAACTTACTCTCTTTAATGCATTCAGTTATTGAAAGCAAAAACTACAGCTGAGCATTAGCACGTAGAGCATCTTTGCAACCTTCAGACTTTGAGTTTGCAGGATTTTGCTACAAACTGATAACCTTGGACTAAATCCTCCAGTTAAACACTGAAACTTCGGCCCTCAGGACAAATTTTTAGTGAATTCTCTTCTGCTTAGTGTGGATAAGCACACTGCTGGCTGTCTCCCAGCTGCTAAGGACCACAACATTACCAAGAAAAAGCTTTTGAATAAACTTTAGTCTCTTTGCAGTACTTTAATTGGTCTGAACATGACTTATTAAGAAATCAAGCTATTTTCTTTTCAGATGCTTAGGTTGCAGTTGTTTCTTGTGTAGCATACAGGGCAGAGTGGTGTTCACTTTAGGATACTATTAAGTCTACGGTAGGCCTGAACCACTTCAATAAGGGTCATGACTTGCTACAGGTTTGTTATGACAGGAAAAAGAAACCAATGGCAAAATACTATTTATTTTTTTAACAGGACGATGAATGTAAAAATTTACCTTGTGTTTACTAGAAAGGGGCCGTGATCACCTGTGGCTAATTTAATTTATTTGTCGTGTACTTAATACTTAATGTCTGTACTGTGATGGTTTGGTACAAATATGTGTACTTTTACACTCGTAGTGTTTGGTATGGCTGTCCACTAGGGGTGTAAACGATACAGAAAACTCATGATTTGGTTCGGTTCGATACTTTAGTTTCACAGTTCGATATTTTATCGATCCAAAAAATGAGAAATGTCCATGCCCTTTTAAAATTGTAATTTGTTGAAATTAATTATGAACATTTGTTTAACCTCAAAAGTACGGTTTATAAATTAAATGTTGCTGAAACAGCAAGTTTCTCAGTGGCTCTGTGCTCGACAATGCAGCCTAGGTGGAGTAGTCGAACACAGATCCACTGATCCTTCAACATAGAGCATCTTCAGAAGACAAGTTGATAAAGTAAATTATAAAAGTCTGTATTGTTCGATACAAGTGCGTATTGAACCTAAACACTGTATTAAACATTTTGATACAGATATATGTATTGTTTACCTCTAGAATTCTTGGTAATTTTTTCTATAATTTTTTAGGTCTTTTCAACATTTTATGGCTATAGCAATAATAAATACACTTATCCGTAAATACATGAAGAACTTTTGAAARTAAGAAGCAGCTAAAACAAAATGGTGACAGAATTAAGACGTCTGTCCTCATCAGGTCTAAGCATAGACCTCATCATTGCACACTAACACAACTAAATGGTTTCTAGTTATCTGCTTCATCTATGTTATTTCATGTTTGTGACTGGCAGGCATACATTTTGCGTCTGAGATTAAATGAACAGTGTTCAAAATGATTCTCCTTCACAAACCCTAATATTCAGTATTCTGACCAGAAGAGCTCAACACTGTTTACACACAGACCATTTTTTTTGTTGGGTAAATGAACTTAGCAGACCCAGACCTAAATCCMACCCATTATTCTCCAGAAACCTTTTTGCACCTGATAGATTCAGACTGACATTTACTGCATGTCTTCACATGATCAATGAAGCGAGGGAGGAAAAAAGCAGCACTCTTTGTGATTTATTACCCAATCTCAGAGTGTTTTTTTAATTACCTGTCTAAATCTGATGGAAAAAAGTTTGTTTTTCTTTTTCATTAACCTTGTAAAAGACAGGTCAACCAGCACTAATCAACAAAGCAGGCTTTCATCTTGTTCCTACTGAACGGCACAGCAATAACACAAAACCTAAACGAACCTGGAATTCTGTCATGTGTGAGAGTGCTGTAATTATTATTTTTTGTGCTTTTGCCCAAACGTGTCTCCATTGTGTTCCCTCGTATCCATTTCAGGGAAATTTTCAGGGTGCGTGAGCATGCATGGATAAATTTATTTGAAGTGTGAGTGTCTGCATCTGCGTAGAGAGAAAGGGTGAAAGTAAAGGGAGGGGATACTTGATAATTGCAGTATAATAATAATAATAATGCCATATTTTATTCCCTTAGCGGGTCTTGGCTGTTTTAAGTGCCGAAGAGAGCTGGGATCCATTAAGAGAGACATTTTTCCACCAGCCGTGCATGTAGAGACATGGCTGTCCTCCAGCTCTCTTCATCTCTGACTCTCTTCCCCCCCGTCTGTCTGGCTGCTGTCTCTCTCCTCACCAAACGCATCAGTCAGTGGGTTTAAAGCATCAACGCTTGTAGTTTCCACTGTTATTTCTGACTGATTTAATGGCTGCCGATTTTGTTTTTTTTGGGCTTAGTTTATGACAAGTTTGAACGTAATATTCAGCGGTTTTGTGTATTTTTTTAAAGGTGTCCCGACTGAGTAGTTTGATATAGTGCATGCATCAGAACAAAGAACAATCTGGGGTACCGTCACACAGTGCAGCTTTTTCCTCGTAGAAAATTATGAAACAGACACTGAACAAGAAATTTGATGCATATGAGCACAAAATAAATTTTTTGTGAGCTGCGTGGGACATGATAAGGATGTATTCTGGAGGAATGTGTTTCCACTTGCACTTCTGATGCAGCCTGGGGCACTTACTGCAGGAATATCTTATTATTTCTAACACAACTGTCTAATGTGAAAATAAAGGAGTTGTAAAGTAATATAACATAGCTTTTGGATGAATTTGATTTTTAAAATCAGACTTGATTTAAATCAGCAGAAATCCACTTTGTTTTTTAGCCCCTCACAGACGAGCCCAGAGGTGGGCAATCCTGGTCCTGAAGGACCTCTGTCCTGCTTGTTTTACTTGTTCCCTGTTCCAAGACCTGGTTCAGTGATTGAATTACCTCTTCAAGTTCTGCAGAAGCCTGCTAATCACCCAGCCATTTGAATCAGGTGTGTTGGAGCAAAAAACAGGTAGCTGTGTCCCCATGCCAGTTTTTCTCAGAGTACTTCAGTTTGCGTACTCGCTGATACTGAGTACTCACTGAGTTAGAACCTAAACATTACACAGTGACTTTAAAAACACATTTCTTTTTTTAGAACAAGGTGTCTCTACTTTCTTATAGGCCTATAGCCCCTCTGACTGGGTCAAATCAAATATACAGCATGATACTGTTGAAACATTTTAAAAATAAATAAGATTTACTTTCAGCTTATACAGTATACATTTCTTAAATATGGATCTGAAAAACATTTCACTTGAAATGTAAACTTTAATACATCCAATTGATTGTATATATACCAATATCAATACTGACACTTTACCAGCCTTTAGCTCACCAGTCTGGTCAGAATTAAATTCTTATTTCTCCACATTTATACCTTCAGCAGGTAAGATGTTAATCGTTAATAACTTTTCCACAGATCCCACTCCACACAGAAAATCAGGAGCCAGGTTGTGAACCTGCAACCTAAAATAACTTGGCAGATTTAGTTACTAATATACAGTAGATCTTTAAAACATGAGGCCACGATACAAACGCCAGATAATTCAAACTCTGYGTTAAACAACTCAGTATTCTTTTACACATCACCTGGAGACAAACAAGCAATCACACGTTCACTCACACCTACAGACAGTTTAGAGTTATCAATGAACCTAACGTGCATGGTTTTGGTCTGTGGGAGGAAACCGGAGTATCTGGAGAACAMCCAGTCAGGCCCCAGGCTGGGTAACAATCCTTCTCGCCGCTCTAATCACCGCGCCATCATCAGGGGCTGTTCTAGGGGCGGGGCCACAGGGGCCCCAACTGAAATCTGATTGGCCCCCTGAAGTGTCTCTGTCCTGTCACTCATCTGTCATTTACCTGGGAGTGATGATGGTGGATGTAGTTCCATGTTCAAACACTAGTTGTGGTAATGAATCAAATAGTAAAGTCCAGAATGAATCAAGCTTACAGAATTCTTCTCTTCTTAAGAAAATTTGAACAATCCTGTAAAAAAAAGTCTTTCATCTGACAAATGATGGTTGGATTTTTTTTACATGTTATGTGTTTGAGAATATTCTATCTATGTACAGTAAAATGTATGAAAAACTGGGAATTGACTGAGAATTTACTCTGCAAGGTTTTTTTGGTACCACTTTACAATAAGGTTCCCCTTATGGCTTATAAAGAGTTTATAGATAGGTTACTAATTCATCTGTAAAGTTTACACTTTATAAATCATTAATAAATGTTTATTATGCAACAATTAAAGATGATAAAGATGAAACTGTCCAGTTTCTTACCAAATAATGAGACAAATCTGTTCACGTACATATTACATCTAAAGGTGGTATATTAAACATTTTAGACTAGGTTACTACAT